TCGTTGTCTCACTGTATGCACATGCCAGCCTAGACATCTCCCTCCTCATTCCAATGGCAAGTCCAGGAAACGGTGGGGTGGACGCAGCCACAACCGCAGCATCGTCCAGATCCCTGTGGAGGCTTTTTGATGATCATCCCCTGGCACAAGTCTTCCAGCCACTAGAGACACTTTTGAGGGGGCAGATGCTGGGGTATTTATCCACCATCTCCTCTTCCTCATTGGCAGAAAGTTGCTCCTAGGGCATCAACTCCCCGAACTTCCATCTTGCCCTGTATGTGGACAAAGCTTATTCCCTTTGACAAAGAGGGAGAGAGGCAGGGGAAGCTTTGCCATTTAAAGAAACTGTCAGCAAGTGCCCTCCAGGAAGGACTGAGGGGTTCTGGGGGAGGGACACAGACAACATCTCCACGTAAGCAGATTTAAAGAAGGACAAAAAGAGGACTTGAGAAAGTTTATGGGTTGCTTACATCGTTTTAAAAGCAGAGGGATTCCTTATCCTGAAAGACTTGCTCACATAGCAAATGCTTTAGTAGTTATGCTTTAGTAGTTATCAATGTTGTTATTCTTAAAAATTTAAAGTTACAAGGGTCTCCAAGCTCTTAACATGATTCATCACACCTGAGCTAGCCAAGGCTCCCAAAGTCAGGCAGTGTCAGTATGTTGATCATACCTGAATAGACCACACACCCAGACTTCAGTTCCATGAGGCAGGGATTTTTACCTGTTTTGTTCACTGATGGGTCCCCAGCATGCAGACCAAAGTCTAGAAAACAAATGGTCAGTTATGACACACACTTGTTACCTCATTTGTGAGATGAGCCTTTGTGGATCCCTCCCCAGTAAACAACCTGACAAGTTCAGTCACTTTTTAAAAAATTGAGATATAATGGACATGTAATAGTTTCAGGTGTACACCATAATGATTTGATATATGGGTATCTTGTGAAATGATAAGTCTAGTTAACATTCATCAATCACAGTTAAATTCTTTTTCTTAGGAAGAAAACCTTCAAGATTTAGTCTTAGCAATTTGCAAGTATAGAAGACGCGATTACTAACTAACTGTAGTTGCCATGCTGTACATTACATCTCCAGGACTTATTTATTTTACAACTGCAAGTTTGTACCTTTTGACCCCCTTCACCCATTTTGCCCACCTCCTTCCCCCACATCTGGTAACCGCCAATCTGTTCTCTGTCTCTACAAGCTTGGTCTTTGTTTTTGTTTTGTTTTTAATGCCACATGTAAGTGAGATCATACAGTATTTGTCTTTCCCTGTCAGACATATTTCACTTAGCATAATGCCTCCAATGTCCATCCATGTTGTCACAAATGGCATGATTTCCTCTTTTCTTTGGCTGAATAATATTCCTGTGTGTGTGTGTGTGTGTGTGTATTACATTGTCTTCATTCATTCATGAGACACAGATTGTTTCCATATCTTAGCTATTGGAAATAATGCTGCAATTAACTTTGGGGTGCATATATTTCTTGAGTTAACCATTTTCATTTCCTTTGGATAAATAGAAGTAAGATTGCTGAATCATATGGTAGTGCTGATTTAAATTTTTTTTAAATTTTCAATTAATTTGTTGAGGAATCTCTATGCTGTTTTCTATAGTGCTGCTCCAATTTATATTCCCACGACCAGTGTAGGGGGGATTCCCTTTTCTCTACTTCCTTGCTAGCATTTTTTATTTCTTCTCTTTTGTAACAGTCTTTCTAACAGGTGCGAGATGATATAAATTTCACTTTTAATGATAACTGAAGTAGCCCTGGAGTTCTTAGCCTAAATTTGTACTTCTTGGTTGCCTGACACCTTTGGACTCCTCAGAAAAATGTGTTTTTAAATGAATAAGTAAAACACTAGGCTTACAAAGGAGACCAGTTGAAGTACAGTTATCAAAATACCTTTTTAAATTTTGTGGTATAATGCAATAAATAACAAAGTCTTGTGATGGGTCTAATAACTACCATAATTTTGAAGTAATGAGTATTAGTGATTTTTGAGACATCTCCAGCAAGTATAATGTAGTGACATCTACTGATAACAAATAAAAGGTCCCTGCTTACACTGCAGGGGTTTGATGCCTATGTACATAATTCAAGGAAATGCTACCTTTCATTTGAGGTTAGTAAAAACTAATGAAGTAATTTTTTTCCATTCAAGTTCATGGCTCTTACAGTCTGCCTCATCCCCTTAAATTGACACCCCTCCCCACCCCATATTTACTGGGCTGTGGGTGGGGAGAAGTCCTGCATAGAAACATACTTTCAATTTAAAAACTGACACAGAAAACTGTGTGCTAGGCTAAGAACTTCTGCTCTGGACCAATCCCTTTGGATCTTTCATGAACTTGTCTGGAAGGTAAAATTGGAATATACATGCTAAGAATTGTGCTAGACAGATATCATTAATAATGGCTTTTATGGAGCATTTCCAGTACACCAGGCATTATGCTGGGGACTTAAAAGAGCTGTCATGGATCCTCAAATAACTGCAGGATGGGGGAGTGAGCCCCATTTTCAGATAAGAAAATGAACACAGAGAAGCCCAGTAATTCAGCTAATGTTGCAAATAAACTGATAGCAAAGGCTTTTTAAACAGAACATTTCATACTGCTGGCTCAGATTGATGTGCAGAGTGTAATAAAACTTGATTTTAGGTCTCACCATAGAGATTCTTGATCAGTTTGAGATGATGCCCTAGAACTGATGGTTTTCAATGGCACCCCTGGGATGGTTGTGATGCAGCCTGCTTGCAAACTATACTTTGAGACACTGATTTAAAGGTGCATCTGCCTGGTACAAAGCACTCTGGGGTTTTTTTCTCGGGAAGTGTTTGTGCCCAGTGCCAGGTTGGACTGCCTCCCCAGGAAAACACTGCCTCGCACACCCAGCGTGCCACCTCCAGCAGACACTGCAGGGTTTCCTCCCATCTTCCCTCCCATTTCTCCATTCCCATCTATCCAGTGTCTCCCACGCCCACTCGGCTTTGCCAATCTTTAGTGGAAAGATCAGAGAGCAGAGAATAGTTATGGTTTAGGAGGCTTTCTGAAGCTGAAGAACAGGGTCTCTCTTGCTCCCTGAAGCAGGTTCCCTAAGAGCCATTTCCAAGAGTGGGGGAACTCTGCAAAGAACCACACACAGCAGAATTTAAATCAAATCACCCTGCCCCCAAAGAAATCTGAATAGAGTTCATGGGCTGGCTTTTCCAGGCAGTGGACCAGCAACCAGATACCTAGCGTTCTTTGGTGCCCAGAGATGTTTGGGTTTAAAACTCCAGTAAAAAGGAAAAATGACAGTTAAGAAGTAATTGAGCATCTGCAGTTTGCCAATTTGCTTTCTTCCTGTCTCTGAGCTCGGGAAGCAAAGCAGACAGATGAGCCTCCACCTCAGTTTGTTTGTGATTCAGGAGCAGCTGTGAATGCAGGACAGTGGCCATGGCCACGAAAGAAGCCCTGGCTAAGTCAGTCCTCCCAGACACCTTGCTTTCTCCATGGAGAGACCACTACTTCTGCCCTGGTCAGGAGGCTCCCCTTTATTTTGCTTAGTCAATAAGATAAAGACAGGGCTGAGAGAAATAAGGTGAGGGTCAAAGAAATTAGACTGAGCTTGAGACCAGATTTTAGGACAGCTAGATAAAGATGCTGTGATTAATAATAACAATAACTGTCATAAAAATATGGCTTTTCATACATAGTGCATATCACACGTGGAAAAACCTCAATTTTCAGAATTAAGAAATTTGGATTCTAGAAAGATTTAATTAGCTTAGACAACATTTTGAGAAGAGCCAGGGCACTCTGTTCTTTTTAGAATGATGTGTGTAAGTTTGGTTTCCTGTCAATCTTACTGCTGTAGACTCTAAGTCATCAGGTTTCGTAATGTATATCCATCCCTGAGGCTGCACCCAGGAAGTGCTTAAAGCCTGTTTGTGGAATAAATGAATGAATGACAATTTCTAAACCAATAACAAGTCCTGAGTTTGGGGAAAGTAAAAATTTTAAAGATTACAAATTCACTTTTGTGAAAGTAAATTATATAAATATGGAGTTTTTAAAAGTATGACTCAGAAAGATCTAAGAATTTTTTCTTAAGGGCTTAGAGAAAAGGAGGGTAACTCATTGATACATACATCTAAGTGTCCCTTTCTCCCCAACTATGAAGTTTTTCAAAAATACAGAGATACTAAGAAGGAAAGGGTTTGCCAAGTTTGGGACTTGGGTGAGATCACAGATGATAGAGTGGAGTAACCTATGGGGGTGGTCAGCAGCACCAGAGGTGTCTCCTTTCCCTGCACAACTTACAATTTTTATGAAGAATCAGGGCTTTTCCCTCACAGGTACCAGGCAGACACTGAAGAGAGATCATGGAGGGGGAAAGACTGAGGCTGACAGAACAGCAAACAGGTCATAAAGCAGCAACTGGCTGATACTGAAATTTGCTGGGATAAAAAACTTCTAAGGATGCACTGCCAGCAGTTGGAGACTTAGGGAGATGAACTCATGAGCTGCCTCTCATAAGATGGAGATTGTATGGAAGATAGAGAGATTTCTACCCTAACACCAGAGAGGATTTCCCCTACCTCCACTGAGGTCTTATGAAAAATAACTAGGTAGAAACGGAGTGAAATTTAAACTACGTTCATTTGTTTAGGATGTTCCAGTAAATTACATTTTATTTCAAACAAAACCCAACCTAGGCTACCATATTCAGTCCAGTTTTTTAATCCAATATGAAATGCCAGACTCAAGACCAAGAAGCATCAGAAACAATATTAGACCAAACATTCAAGAGGTGCCCTTATTAAAACTACTTTTATTTGTCATGTTTTTTCATCTAGGAAGCCAGCTTCCCCTTCATTGCTTCCCTGCCCTTTCTGACTTTTCCTCTTGCAGAAATGAAAAACCCGTCTCCATCCCTCCCCTCTCTCCTCTGGATGCCAAAATAACCATGTTAGTGTTTTTTCTTGTTTCAAGAAAGCAGGCAAATAGTAGACAGTAGTACATTTTAATTCATTTTGAAAAACAAGCACAGGATTGATTCTTCAGGTCCCCTTATTGGACCTGACACACTGCAGAGTCCAGACAACTCGGCCTGGTTACAGTCAACTGGTTCTTGTGTGGCAAAGTCACTGAGTGAAGGTAGCAGTGAAACATTCCCAAGACAATCACTAGACATGCAGAATGCCAGCCAGAAGCATGGATCCCTTTCAGGGGTCTGCCATAAGGAGCAGGAGGCTGTGTTTTGTGTGTGTATGGGGTAAGCCAGCTGTGTTCAAGGGAGTAAAAGCACCCGATTCCTGTGACCCTCAAGGGGCATCTTCTCCAAAGGGGTTTCTTTCCAATCCCTAAATTTCAGAGCCAGATACCCCTCCAAGTCACATGTGTTGCTCCTTAGAGAGTCAAAGCCAAGTCATCGTGAGCATGAAAGCTGGCTGACCCCCTTCCTGCCCATTCCCTGGCATGGAGAGAGCCACCATTCACTCCATGGGTCTGAAAGAATCCCCCCATCCCTGGGTTGAAGCACGGGTGCGGCCAAGCAAGCCTTGGGTACCCAGCCCGTTGGATGGTAGCTATGTTGGTGTATCCCATGAACAAGGTGGAAAAGTGCTTTTGTTCCTCTCCCTGATCCAGCTGGGGGAGGGGGGCTGGTGGGCTGCCTGCTGATGTCCCCTAGCCCATGTGCTTATATTGGGATCGGTCCCTAGGTATCTGCACCTGGCTGGCAGTCATTTTGTGGTGGATGTGGTAAATCACCAGTGTTACCACAATGACGAGGCCCAAGATGAGCCCCAAAATCAGGGGCAAAGTTTCCTCCAACTGCTCCCGCTCGTCCACTGGGCATTTATGCTCTGAAATGGGAAAGTAGAAAAGCAGTGAGCTCCTGTCAAGATATTCCATCCATATCATAAGTCCTCCTATCAGAATGGAAATAGAAATGGAGTGAAAGGACTCTAAAGGAATCTTTCTGGAGACATCTCTTTTTCAGAAACAGTACTTCCCCAACCAACCCTCAGAGGCTGAACCACTATTTCTGCATAATGTAAAATAAAAATGCATCAAGTTAATAAGGCAACATTCATATAAGATTCCTGGAAAATGCCAACAAAACTTTCCAGTGGTTTGTTTAGATTTTGAGTTTTATCACTAGACACAAGAACTATCATTTTTATGGCTGGTTTAATTTTTTAACTTTGTATTGAGGTATAAGGCACACACAGACAATGGTACAAAAATATATAGCTTCCAAGAAAACTGAAAATACCAAGTGTTTGTGATGATATGGAGTACTTGGAACTCTTATACATCATTGATGGGAAATGGTACAACCATTTTGTAAACCAGTTTAGTGTAGTTCCTAATAAAGGCAAACATACACCTACCTTATAGCCCAGCATTCCATTCCTAGGTATTTACTTATGAATAATGAAAACACATAGACACAAAAAGACTTGATCATAAATATTCATAGGAGCTTAATTAATGATGGCTTAAACCTCGAAATAACCAAAACGTGCATCAAAGTGGAATGGAAAAATGAACTGGTATATTTGTACAGTGGAATATTAGGCATCAATATGGAATGAACTATGGCTACACATAAATAATGGATGAACCTCAAAAACATTATGTTGAGTGAAAATCGTCAGACACAAAATGTACATATTGCTTGGGTTCATTTAGATGGAACAGGTAGAACTAAGTCCATGGTGATTGAAATCAGAAAAAATGCTTACACGTGGGGAACAGAAAGAACACAAGGGAACTTCTGGTGTGATAGAAATATCCTATAGCTTGATTTAGGTGAGAGTTCCGTGGATATAGGTAAAAACACACTGAGCAAAAAACTTCGGATTTGTGCGTTTTAATATATGTAAATTTTATGATAATTTTAAGAAAGAAATTGCTGAGCTGGATGAAATTTCACAAATGAACCACCCCCACCCCCACCCCATGTAACCGGCATCTGGTTTAAGAAAGAAAACATTACCAATACCCCAGGGTTGGCTCAATTTTTACCCTTCTAAAATCTAAGAAGGTTTTATAGCCCTCGGTTTCCATTTTTACATAGACCGAGCAAAACAATTTTGGGGACACCTGTTGATAACAGTGTGTAGTGCTGACCAGCACTGAATTCCTACAAACCAGGACCCAGTTACTCAGGCTCCTTGGTTCCTTGTGGGTAGCTCGTGGCCTTTTCACCAAACTTAGGAGCCACCACTGGAGAAAACAGGCTTTAGATACTTCTTCAGAGAGACCAAATTTTTTAGTCAGGGTGATCCAGCAAACATTTACTGAGCGCCTACTGTGTGCCAGGCTCCTCCAGATCCCTGTTGACAGAAGGGAGGGTAAGGCCTGAGCCCCAGGAGTCTTTTCTCTCCAATAACAAGATCCAGAAAATTGTAGGTCAATATACAGCTTTTAAAGAACTGTATACTTAATATGGCTGGTTCTTAGATTAACTTCCAGATCTAAGCACAAAGATTGTCTCACTGAATCCTCATAACAACCTTGTGAGGTAAATATTATTGCATCTATTTTTACACGTAAGATGATTGAGGCAGAAAGAAGCTAAGTAATCTGCCCAGGGGTAAATGAAGCCACAGTCTGAACTCAAACAGCCTAACTCAGCAGCACTGAGCAGACATGAGTTGGGCTGGAGTTAGGGTTGGGTCTGTAGGGCCTGAGCCACTGGCATTCAAAGGCCACAGAATCACAAGGTGGGCAGGAAGGAGGGCTTCTGGCCTCTGTGGATCTGCTTGCTGGTGGTGGAAGTACATTCAGTTTTTGAAAATTCAGAGACCTAGATACTCACTCTAAAAGGGTACAAGCATACCTTTGGGGGTGATGGGCGTATTGATTTTTCTGGATTGCAATGATGGCTTCTTAGGCATATATTCCTGAATCAGTATTTATCCAGCCACACACTTAAATATGCACAATTTATTGTATTTCAGTTATACCTGAATAAAACTATTTAAAGTAAATAAACATATTTACATCCCCCATCTGAAGAAGGAAAGACTTTTTTAAAAATAGGTTTTTAATTATTAGGAGCCTCTTGGGAGCTAGGGGAGATACTTAAATGGGTGATAGACCTCTCCTTAGAGTCACAGTAGCTAAAGATGTCCTACCACTAGATCCTGAGAGACAGGGACCACATCTTTCCAGGTCTTTCTGTACTTAGGAAGTATCTTGTATTCACTCTTTTTTCTTAAACTTCAACTTTACGGAGGTATAACTGATGAAGAAAATTGTAAGATATTTTTTAAAAACTGATTTTTAAAAAGATATTTTGGCAAACATAAAGGAAGAGCTTAGCATCTCTTAGCATTAAACTGAGCCTTTCTCCTTATTACAAGCAGAAGGACTGAAAAGAATTAGCAGGGGACTTTTCTTTTTCACTATTTGACTCTATTAAGGAGTCCCAAACTTTAAGTAACAGCCTTCAGCTCAATATCCCCATCCATCCAGGGAAAAGACTTCCTGATATTACAAGATACACCAGAAACAGCTATGAGCCCAGAGCTCCATAGCCAGAAGGTTGTGCTTTCTTTGAAGAGAGTGAATAGAAATGGGGTCCCCTGGGATAGAGATTTTGTTAACAGCTATTTATTTGTTTCCTTCACTAGAACACTGTTACGTGTAGTGTAATATTAACATAGGTTGTGGGGTTTGCTCAAATTCCATGTGCTAGCTGCAAATTCATACCTTGATGTTCATAACAAACCCCTTTCAGCCACACCTGTTTATGTTAATGAGGTGACTGGGGAAGCCCCTATTTCACCTAAGGATGGGGGCTGGTTGCCAGGGGAACCAACAGGTGATTAGAGGGTTGAAATGTTCAGCTCCACCCCCGCTGGTTTCCAAGGAGGGAAGAAGGGATGGAGATTGAGTTCAGTTGTCATGGCCAATGATTTAATAAATCACGCCTATGTAACAAAGCCTCCATAAAAACCCAAAAGGATGAAGTTCGGAGAGCTTCCAGTGGGTGAACACATGGAGATCTGGGGAGAATGGTGTGCTCAGAGAGTTTGGAAGCTCTGTGCCCTTTCTCCATACCTCATGCTAGGCATCTCTTCCATCTGGCTGTTCCTGAGTTACATCCTTTTATAATAAACCTGTAATCTAGTAAGATGTTTGAGTTCTGTGAGCTACTCTAATAAATCAGTCGAACCCAGCGAAGGAATCCTTGGAACCTCCAATCTATAGCCAGTTGGTCAGAAGCCCGGGTGATAACCTGTACTTGCCATGGTGTCAGATAATCACTTGATGGTTGGGAAAAACATACATACATCAAAACTGGTGTTGGAACTGCGGTGCCAGACGCTCATCTGACAACAACACCAGGCTTGAACTGATGTCACGCTGCTCATGATTCTCATTCATCCTACTTAGTGTGAACATTCATGTGGTTCACTGCAGGAAACAGATATATTAAATATTTGATTACAAGGGCCTGCCCTGACTCATCTGAGATCTTCCATAATACATGGGCTGTGCACTGTATTGTCTTCCTAAAGTCTACAATATTCTGAATTCTGAAAAACAACTACCCAATGGTTTTAGATGAGAGATTATGAACCCATTAAGGAAAGACATGCATTCCCCTTTCTGGCTTATTAAGCAAGTGTTTTCAAACTCTGCCTCTGACCCATAGGAAGCATTATAACCCAAAACATATGTATACACACATTAAGTGAAACTAGTTTTACAAAACAATAGTTATCCTTACTTTGTGCATCTAGTAATTTACACTCTATTTTATCCTCTTTCATAAAACAGAGCTGGTCATGACCCATTAAGATAGGGGTTTAATAATTTTTGTGCCAGTGTGATTAAACTATCACCCTTCCTTAGAATAATGCATTTAAAGGCTTAAAAATAAAATAGATAAGATTACAAAGGAAATGGATTACATGGAAATTCAACTATCAAAATATTTTTAAACACCTTGGGAGACAGTAATATATGTACTTCTTTATTAGTGCACACATATACTGGCTATGATGGCAGAGTGGGGAGAATGACTGTTATTTTGCAATATCTGTGCAAACTAATGTGAGATGAAGACATCATGATTTCTATTGGTAACAAAGTCAGAGGCACCACTGATACTACTGTGAGTTGTTACTTTCATTTGTAATCAAAGGAAATTTAACTATTAGTTAGGAATGAGTAAAAATAAAGATGTAAATTTTTCCCATTTGAAATTTACAGACCCCCTGAATTCTGTCCACCAACAGTAAGAACCTCAGGGTTAAGACTGTGCTCAATAAGCTCATTATACAACCCACAGACTATAAAACCAGGAAGGCCCTGGATCTCTCCCTGGGGGAAGAGTACCCCTCGGCTTCGACCAGACTGCATCTGGCTTTGGATTTGCTCAGAGACCCTTCAGTCCTTGTCTACTCCACAGGACGTGGGGTCCCACATGACTCTGCCCTGGCTGGACTCAGGATTCTAGAGTACACAAAACAGGCTCAGGGTGGGTGGCCTGTGGCTGGAAAAGGACCTCGCCATTGGAAAGAACCAGAGGAAGGCAGATCAGACAACAGCGCAGTCATCCCTCAACCAAAAACCTGGCGTCCCCACTGAAATTTTGATTCACCTTAGGTTCTGTTGTCAAGTCTGTGTTTTATTTTGTTTTGTTTGATGACCATTGCATTTCCAAGTTGTATTTACTCCCCGAGGCAAACTACAGGAACTCATCATTGTACCCCAAATGAACAGCAAAGGGCAGGGGGCCAAGAGGCAAGCTATCCCCGGACTGTCCTGTTTGAGGAAGAGGAGGGCAAGCCTTTTGCTGGCTGTGGTTTTCTCTGCTGTCTGACAGGGCAGCTGGAGGGAG